TGCCCCAACACGTGCTGAGAAACACCACCATGGTGGGTTACAACCCTTCAATTCCCCACCAACCCAGCTGATTTCCAAGAGATGGGGTGGGGTTCCCCTCCCCGGGGTGCCACCCAGCACCCCGTGCAGCCCCCAACATGGGTGGCAGCACCCACGGTGAGTGGTGGCTCAGGTGAGGCTGCCAACGCTCAGCTTTTTCCCATCCCAGACCAGCAGATCCAGTTTTGCCTGTTCCTTCAGAGCCTTGGCCACCCTGTTTCGGGCAGGCAGGTTCCCCTGCCCCAGATGAGCTGGTTCCCTAAAGCCCAAACCAGCAAAACCCAGCGTCCAGCTCTATAGTCCCCACTGATAAGCTGCAATTGTCCTCCCTGGCCAAGCAAAGTGCAAGATGCATGTGGATCAGACCTCTGGCTAACGAAGCAAACCTGCATATTCATAACCCACCAGCAGCAATAGCCTGGATGGCTTTACTCACCTCCCCCCAGGCACAACGGGCTTACGGGTCATGGTGTTTGTGCCTGTTCCCGTCTCACCCAGGGGACTGAAGCCCTTCCTGCGAGGCTCAGGCATGGTGCCCGATTGCCATCCCCAAGACCGCACAGAGCGTGAATCGTCCCAGGGATGCTCCTGCTGCACCCTCTGCTTCACCCTGCCCTCCTGCTCTACTTCTCCAGCCTGTAAAATTGGTATGTGAGCCTGTAAACCCCCTTGATGACACGAGGGAGACAGGAAAGCACCTTACCTGGAGCTGAAAAAGGCAAATGGCCTCCTGGATGCCTGGCTGGCAGCTACCAGGGATCTGGGTATTTGTGTGTTGCGGTCTCCTCCCCAGTCCCACTTTCAGAGCAGAAAAACTGGCTCTGCTACCCGACGGACAGCACATGACACTGGGAACATGACCGGTCGCATTCATACCCACAAGAAGTGTTGCCTCCAGCATGGGCAGGAGCAGAAAGACCCTTTGCAAGCAAGCCAGGCCAGCTCTGGAGGCTGGAAGCAGAGAAAAGGGGATTTGGGGATGTCCTTAAAATCACAGTGAGAGGAACCTCCAGGAGGGCATTGCTCCCTTCTTGGTGGGAGGTGTCAGGGGGCTCCAGGAGGTCCAGGCAAAGCTGAACCAGGCAGAGCTCAGCACTCCCAGCTCCCTCCGATGCTTGTCCTTGCTGCTGGCTTTCACTCCAACATATGATTAAGCAAATACCTGTCAGCAGAGAGCAGTTACCAGCAGGTCTAAACACTTGCATAATGCGCTTCCCCTCTAACGCAATGCCCTCGTTTCTAATAGCACCAATATGGGATAATAACAGTAACAATAATGTCAAGAAGGGCTTGTGTACCTGAAAGCTAATTTGTTTTCTCTACCTAATAAAAAGTATTACCTCTCCCACAAGATTTGCCCTATTTAAAGCCTTCAAATCTACAACAAAGTTACTCCCGCAGTCATTTGACTTTAATTTACAGTAATTGCAGCATGTGTGGAGCCCCCTCCCACCAAGCGAGACTAACCCTGGGTAACTCATGTGGGGAGCAAGCAGCTGTACAGAAGTCACTCAATCCAAAAACCTGGCCATGCCCTGCCCCAGGCCTCCTCCACCGGAGCCTGCACTGGCTCCAAATGCAGAGCAAGAGTCTCCTTGGCAAGTTTAGATCAGAAATAAGGGATGGGTTTTAACAGCAAGGGTGGATAAACCCTGGAGCAGCTCGGCAAAGCCCGTGGCAAAGTCCCTGCTGCTGCCAATTTTACAGACAATTGTGGTGGTGCTTTCTAGCAGAGATGCTTCAGCTCACGCACAATTCATTCGGGGAACTCCCAGCAGCCAGTGCTCAGTCTTGGAGTAAACCATGGCAGCAATCCCGCCTGTCCTGGCATGACACAGCTGCCACGTCGACACAGCCGGGGAATTCGGGGTACAGCACGGGAGCTCAGTAGAGACGTGCACAGGGAGCACAGCGTGGGGTACTGGGCCAGACCCAGGGAGGCCGTTTGGTGTCAGGACTGGCTGGCATCCAACCCCACTCCTCTGAGCAGCTCCTGCCACCTTAGGTGAATCCTCCCCCACAAACACCACGTTTGACCTTGTTTTTATCTGGTGACCTCATTGCCTGCTCCCTGCCAGCCCCAGCCGGGCTCTCAGCACTCTGATGAGCAGCATCCTCCAGCCAGAGCAACCCAGGGGACAGCCCTGCCATCACTCCCCGGACACGGGGACACAAAGCATCACCCCAGGGGAACCGGCTCTCAGGGACCGCCCCGGCCATCAGGCCAGGCTGCTGCCACCAGCATCTTCCAGCACAGGGGTGGCTTCCAGCACCCAGCAGGACCGCAGCAGCCGCAGCCACCTCTGGGTCCCAGCCCACAAACCGCACGGGCTCTGCTCTCACCCTGCAGCAGGCGCAAAGCTGCCCTTGCAGGAAGGAAGGAAAGCAACGTGCCACCCAGCACGAGCTGCTGTCAAAGCGCAGAGCTGCGAGGGACTAGCAGAACTCCCAGAAAACATTAATTAGCGCAGTACTGGGCAATTATGTCCTCCATTTCTGTGCCAAAGAGCCTTTGGCTACAGAAGATCAATCTCTCTGCCTTAAATCACATCATCATGGACCACTGTTTATTTAGGATCCAGCGTGCACACCTGGGAAGGAAATGCCGGAGCTCTCCTCCTCCTCCTGCCATTTCTCCCTGTCTTGCCTCTGAGTCAGGTCATTTAATTTGTGCTGCAGGTGACCTGGGACAGCTGTCCCCTTGCTCAGGGCCACAGGAGCAATGTAGCTGCTGCTTCTTCCAAACGAGGACAACTGCTCATCCCGCCCGTGTCAGAGGTTGTGCTGCTGCTGAACGTGTGTGTTTTAATAATGAAAAATGAGTCCCTGGAAAGCTGGTTGGGCAAGGGCTGGGAGCAAGTCCCAAAGCCCATCGGGACGACCGAGCCTTTTTTGTTTTAAACCTTTCCACAGCAGCTGCCAGGAAGCAGCTTTTACAGCTGCAAGTAACAGAATCTCTCCCAAGGAAAGAAAATAATTGTGGAAGGCTTTTTTCTTTTTTCCCCTCCAAGTCACTGCCAGCATCTTAGCTCTTATCTATTCTCAGCCACCTCTCACCTCCCCAAACACTACCAGAAGTGCTCAAATTACTGCCAGCTCTCATTAGGTTCATGCACAAGGCAAGACCAAGCAATAAGTCCTCCAGACAGTTGGATGCTGAATTCTGATGAATCCTTTGGGTAGGAAGATATCAGCAACTGTGGAACTGTTTTTGTTGGCGATGTATTGCAGTCCTTGCACTGGAACACAAGTGAAGCTGGTGCACAGCTGATTATTGGCTGCTATAACAAAATCCAGGTGGGCATATGACCAAAAGAATTAGTCTGCATCTTCAAAAAAAATAAATCACCTCATTTCCTTTTAATAATTAAACTACTCTGCACTAAAGCACTGCAGGTCAGTAGAATTTATCTGCAAGAAAAGCAGCTGCTGCTTCATAAAACTATGTTATCTTTATTTCCTCTCTTCTGACATTTCTGTAAATTCTGGCTTTGTGGCAGGAGCAAAGCTGCCATTTTGCACTGATGCAGGAACTGGGAGCTTGGCTGTGGGAGCTCTCACTCCCCAGCCTGGGGTCAGAGCCCTCTTCCCGAGGAGGCGGTACCCTGCCATGCCAAAAGCCCCAGCTGTCCTGGCCCCAGAGCAGCACCCAGCTCCACAAACCACAATCAGGGCTGAAAAGAAAAAAACCTACAGTTTGTTCTTCTCATATTGTTCGTGCCCATTGCTATCTTGATAGCTCTTAACAGAAATGGTTGTCAAAACAAATCCTTTCTTTAATAATACTATCAATGTAAAGAAGAAAAAATAATATAGTTTATTGTAGTGCAGATTTTTTTTACCCAGACACATTCAAGTCTAGTTTCCTTTAAGATGAAAAAAAGGCTCTCCCTTTCAAGATTGAACCAGGACTAAGGCAAGGCTTTTTCCATATATATAAAAATCAGAAAAGCATTAGCCAAAAGGTATTCTAATAATAAAAACACTTCTCTACTGCACAAAGAGCAGAGGAACGTTAAGCCTTCAGTACAGCAGAAATGTGCAAGACCTGCTAAAACCCAGAGGATTTTCAAAATGGGATTTGAGCATCATTGTTACCAATGAGCAAGTAGAGAGGCAGGTGTGACACTCAGTCACCTCTGGTTAGCTATTCTGGACTTCTTGAAGTTCCATTTTAGCTGTGCATTTCTGCTCTTGTGATTCCAACAGAGGTTGCTCCCTCCTAACAGGCAGCCTCAAAAGATAGAAATTGCAAAAGGGAACAAAGCAGGGAACTTTCACAGCACAAAGAATCAGATACCATATGTGGAGCAGCTTCTGAGACAAATTAGGACTCCCACTAACAGAACCAAATTGCTTCCTCTCCCCCTACTTTAATATACCTTCCAAGAAGAAGGAGCATTGCATTAGACTGTTTTTACACAGAAACAGGAGAAAAGCAGTACCTGAGTTTGTGAACAGTCTGTGGCCGACATGTCAAGCTGCACTGAAAAAGGGGAATCCTCCTCCTAAATTCTCTCATTAAATTGCCCAAACACAAATCAATCCCTTTTAGCCAGTTCTCATTTATTGCTATAAAGAAAAGTACCCACATTCTTAGGACCAGATCAGCATTTTCCCAGCTTGTGCTGAAGCAAGCACTCTGCAAGAGAATTAGAAACAGCACCCTAGTGAGAGTCCCCGTCCCACATCCCTGAGTCATTAACAGACATCTTCAGGAAGCCGGGGCTTCTCTTCAGCAACAACGCCTTGATAAGGAATCCTCTCTGCTCTATTCTTCCCAGCCTAGGAATTGCAAGGTTCATAATCATAAATATTTGCCTTTTCTTGCACCTCCTATCCAATATTTACTTCAACATCAACAAAGAGCTATCAGAAACCTAATTATGCCTCTCTGACTTACAAAAATCACACCATGATTTTAGCTAACTCTTTAACTAGCCGGCTGCTACTCTCTTCTCCAGCATTGTCTTCACAGTCCAGAGAGCTTCTCCAAAGAGCTTGTTAACACATACAGCAGAGGGATTTCAGTGAAAAGATACAGACAGTCCATGAAAACAGAGAAGCAACCTGCGCTTTAAGTCTGTCACGTTGTCCACCAGCCTGGACTATGCTAATCACATCTCTCAATGCGCTGTAAGAGCTGTCATTGCCAGACTGCATTTAATCACCGTTCTTGCAGCAGCGATCAGAGTTAATCTTTTTCCCTTTAATAAGAGCCATTACATCATTCTCCAGCACGGAAACTATGAAGTGGGAAGGTCAAACAGTTCTTAATTAGAAGGACTTTTATTGCTGCGATAGTTCCGTTCTAGCCTCAATAAGAGAGATCTGCAGTACAGGCAGCAAGAGCTGGAAGGCATCTTGGATATATGAAGCACTGTTTGAAGCCTATGAAAACAAAAATCAAAATACACACATGAATAATTATGCTACCAATCAGTTTTACCAACCACATACTCATTTCAAACAGCATTGATTAATGCATATAAGAAACAGAAGCCTAGTGCTTGTCAGATTTTTAAGGCTTCATTCTAGAAATCAATTTAATACTAAGTTTTTGAGTGGATTTATGCCACTAAGCAAAAAAGCCACTGGCTTAAAAACTGCCAAACAAGATCAAGTGCAATCTGAATGTAGGTTGCTGTTTTTGCTAACAGATGAGAAGAATTTGTTTCAAAGTGAAGCACAAATAAGCTGTGGCAGGAAGGAAGAACACACCAACAGGAAACACCCATTTCCTACCACACCTCAGAAGTTTACAAGCACTGAGAGCTAATTACACAGCTAGGAAGTGTTGGGACTCTTGCATGCTAATTTCTGAGCTTGTCTAAGGTTTGACTTTGGACATTTAAATTCTAGAAATCCAGACTGCTGAATTCAACGTATGCCTTTTGACCCATCATAACTGTCAGCTGAGACCACATAAGGCTCACTCTTCACTAAGTAACTCATGTCTTGTGCAAATCTACAGACGTTTATTAAAACTTTTAAGTTATTAGATAGGTAAGCAGAATCTTAGACCATAGGTTAGAGAACTTGGCATGCATAAGGATACTGAAGTGGAAAAAACCCAGCATATCTATTTTTTAAGTACTAGCTTAAAGTTTTAACTTTAGCATAACTGACCTCCAAAAACACTCCAGTGATTAAGGGATTCAGCACATCTGCTTTCTCTTTGGCCTGCAGAAATCACACATATATTATCCTGATTGAAAATTCGATCACATTTCTTCAAGCAAGATAAAGCTAAATCCTCCGTACGTTTAAAATCACGATTGCTCCCTACAGGAAAGCTAAGTCACAAGCTGCAGAGGACCTGCCTTGCAGCATGCAAATAACAATGTAACCCACATATGCCCAACACAAGGTGTATATGAATACACACATTGCATCTTCAAATGAACTGTGGACATCTGGAGAATTTGGAAATAATGATATTATCTTCAATAACACCCGAGTGTTTTGAGAAATCCACAACAGGATCACAAACCTTATCTTCTTCTGTCTCCTTAGTACCGCCAGCACCAATTCCCAACCCCCACACCCTGTGCCAGGCTGAATGCAGCAGGAGGCATTCAAAAGCTCAGCATACATTCAGCTGCCACAATTTGGGGTACACTGACCTAGAAGATGAGTTCACAAGGCAAAAAACTACATATATAAATGTGCAAATACAAAAAGGACTTTGTGGTGAAGATCCCAAGGCTGTCATCAACTAACCGCATCTCATTCCTAAGAACTATGGTGTAACTCTTACCCCTGCAGTTGTTAAGCATGTAGTAAACTCTTTAGAGAAGGTTGACAGTTCTTTACACAGCACAATTGTCATTCTGTGGAAGAAGAGTGGGAAAACCATGTAGCAAATACAGTCTACAAGAATAACTTTCTTTTAGCATTCGTCTAAAACACAAATACCTTGTTTCCATGCATATAAAGCTAAATTAAACCTCAGTTGATATATAGAGCATATGAACAGTGTATGAAGATCCAGAAGTTCCCCAAATAAATTGGGGAGGAGAAAGATGGAAAAATACATAATTAAAGCCTAAGATCTAAAACAGCATTCAGAGGACAGACACATCCATTCAAGAAGGAACAGTACTAAGTTGGGTATTTTTTCTGACAAGCATCATTTTCTGAATTAGAAAGTACTGCATATTTCATACACTTGCCAAGTATCTCCTGACATAAAAGAAAAATCTCATGTTATGCATTATCAGTAAGACCAATCTACTAATTAGCTGCAGTAATTTTACAATATCACATACCTAACATACTAAATGATTAACAAAAAGGTAATTAAGAATCACTTTTATACTACAACTGCTTTGTCATATTTTAAATGTCTATCTGCTAACTGGCACAAGCTTAGGGCAAACCTTCTTCTTGGCTATATCATAGCTTTCAAGTAGAGTTTCTTCTTTCTTGTCAAGAAATGTCTTTTAGCTGGAAAAAGAGAGACACCTGAATTCTGCTGGAAGATAGTAATGCCACCCATTGCAACTTTCAACACACATGCAGAATTCAAGAGCCCTGCATCCCATGGATTTGCAAAGAATTATTAGACAGTTTAATCAGTATGTAAGTAATTATATGCTACAAATTTAGGAAGAGATGAACTTACTGTGAAAGGGACTTGGCTCTGTCTGTGGCTGTCACCTCTTGTTTCTGACCATGTAGAAACAAAGCTGCAGTTTTGTGAAACATTTCAATGGAGCATGCTGTCAGTTCAGCCAGACTTCTTATGGCAAATGCATGAATATCCTGCAAGAGTTAAAAAGATTCTCCATACCATACAAAAACCAGCAGCTTTTATTATTTAAAACAAGTGAGTCACACAATGTACTACCACTGCACTGCCCTTTCAGACCTCAGAATCTGCACAGAAATAGAAACCCATAAACTCTGGGAATCACAACTGTAACTTAGCAGCCAGATAAACACTCTGCAGTCAGATATTCTCTTCCTTCATTTCTCAGTTACCTCTACTGATTTTTTATCATCATGGTCACCATCTCCAGATTCTACTTCTTGGTCTTCTTCACTCTCTTCTTCTTCTTCAGGAAGACTACTGTTGAATCGTGCTATCCATTCATGAGCAGATGTCCTCACCTGCATGAAGATGTGCCATAGTGTTTAATGCCTGGAATGAAGCCTCCCTGCACACCACAAAACATGGAGTATTGGCTCTCTCTAGAGGAAAAACAGCTATGATTCCTGAGCTGGTGAGAAGAACCAGGACAAATGATCCTAGTGCCTTCAGGACTTTGTCGAGGGTTGGCTACACTGATGTAGCTGAGGGGGGCAGTCATGGCAGTCATTTCTCTAGCACCGCTGCTGGAGTTTGCCAGCAAGACCACGACTAACAGAGGCACTTTAAAAATATGTTTGCAGAATGCTGCTGCCACTTGGTGGATCTGAAGGGTAGTGAAATGAAGGCAAGGCAATTCTACCTCTTACCAACTTCTGAACGCAGTAAAACCAGCTGCTTTGTACCAAGAGCAGGGCTTCAATTCATGACTGTATGTTGATTTCACTGTGGTGGCTGAAGGCTTATGGCTCCTGGTTATCTTTACCACCACTTATTTCTGCCCAGTGACAGGGCAAAGACACATCAGTGTCTACTGATTCAGAGCCACAGACATTACAGAACATGATTTTGCCCCACGAAGTCAAAGGAAAAGGCCTCTCTTGTCTACCATTGTCAAAGGATCTACAACACAGATGGTTTTCATGCCTTTGGGATTTTCACAAGCAAAGCAGGACTGAGCAGCAGTTCCTGTGAGGAATCTCTCCAGTGTTTAAAAGATGGGAAATAACTCACTGTGATCAGTTTGTCTGGCTTTGAGGAGATACGCAATTCTGAAAACAAGTCTGTCACTTCTTTTGTGAACTCTTCATCTCCTAAAGGACAGATAAGGTTAAAAAATCCACACAAAGGGCAGATACAGGAATAAGCAGCACTTTGATGCACAAGTCTGTCAACTCTTTCCTTTATTTCACTTTGAATCATCAACTCAGGCAAGAACGGATCAAACCTGAGAAGGTGCAGATACCAGTACCAGAAGGTTAGCTTTTGCTCAGGCAGCATTTTATAACGCACTAACTTGCACACCTCCTTGGAGAATCTGAAATATCACTTAAAACCTATGGTTCTCCTAATATACACGGCAGGGCAGACGTTAGCAGTGAGGGGGAGGCTGCGAGATCCATCATGTGCAAGTATAAAAGATACATTAAATGTTAAGTGATAGCAAGTGCAGGTGTGTAAGCCCTCCCTCATGAGCCATTTAGGTAAAGGCAATGCAAGAAATTTACATTAAGATCTGCATAATCCTCAAGAATCACATGGCTCTTGCGTAGGAAGGCACCTCTGAGCATTTCGATCTGTGTGGCTAACTCTCATTTAAAAAATAAATAAATAAAAAGGCTTTTCACTTTCCCACAGGCTGGACAACTCTATTCATAGTCTTTCCCTCATGGTCAGGGGAACCCAGCATCTCTTTGAATTTGCATTTTGGCTCATGGTCAGTTGTATGAACTGCCCAGGAGTCAAGCAACTCTAATCCTGCTCTGGCGAGAAATTGCTCCTGCTACAGAATTAATGCACAGCAGCTTTCCAGAGATGAAGCTACCTGTCCTGCTCCTGGCCACAGATGGCTTTACGATTAAGCATTCAGCTAAAGAATAACTTAACTTTGTCATCATGCCCATTGCTAGTGATGTCAGGGCTGGCTGGTTCTGCATTGAGAATTTAATTGAGAACCAGCTTCTCCTCCCAGAACCTAGGGCTCTCTTACCCTTCTTTTCTTCCTCCTCTTCTTCAAAGAATTCAGGTAAAGAAAAAGCTTCTTTGAGTTGCTCCATTTCCTCCTTCAGTGTGTCCAACTCTTCTCCAGAGAGGGCATTTAGAACTGATTTCACCTAGTTAGGGGCAGCACAGCCCAAGAGAGAATCATAACTCCAACAAGAAAAAGAAACAGCATGAAGAGGTAGCACTGGTTTACATCACATGTAAAAACATTACAGACTGATATTAATGAGAAAGTGGTATTTTCCTATGGGAAGGAAGAAAGGGAAAAAGACCTATTTCTGAAGTCTCATTAGATAATAATGGCTTCTTAAGGAGTTATTCAAATAATTTCTTTCATAAAAAAAGTGAATGACTTCTGAAATTACATGCTGATCTGCCCTCCTCCCTGCTCCACAACGGAGAGGACAATCTGCTGTGCTTAGAATACTCTCCTCTTCTCCAGAGCAAGGCGGCAAACAAGTGGGTATGACGAGAGAGTAATTTGTGGTAAGTTGTTGAAGACACGCAGGAACTGAGGCTAGCTGGGTAAAGAGAACAGCTCTGGGAGTCCAGGACAGGACACAATGCTCCCAGGGTAAACACCACATCATAATGCAGGGGTCAAAGTGAAGTTGTGTAATCTATCATTTTATAGCAAGTTCTGAGCACCTGATTTTACATGTATATACGTATATTTCTAATCTTTTTTTTTTCCCTGCTCAACTGAACTCAAAATAGAAGGCAAATTGCTCAAGGCCATTACCTTTGATTCACTCTCTCTGGAAAGGATCTCTAAGGCTTCCAGATGCGAAAGACCCTGAAACTCATCAAACAGTAACCCATAATGGGCTTTCTTCTCTGTAGCCATGGTAACCTCCGTAGCTGTCTGCTGCTCTTCTTTCTCTTTTGCCTCTCGTAAGACCTGAAAAAGAAAAGCAGAGGACTCAGGTCAGTACCAAAAGATACAGAATATGGGAGGAGAAGGCTTTTGGTTCAATAGTAAATGGTCGCTTAATGACAGGACCACAAAAGAAGGGAGAAGAAATGAGAGAAACCAACGAGGAGCTGACGTGGAACTGCCATACCTGAGATAACGTAGAGTTTCTGTTCATTAGGCCCTTTGTTTTTTTGAATCCAGGATCTCCCTCAGCTATTACATCCATTGTCTTTTTCCCGATGAATTCCAAGGCATCCAGACCTCCACTAATAACACTCTTT